AGGACACAATAGTCCGCTTTTCTTGGTGCATCTACCTATATCCGGGTCCCTGACATGGTGCCTATATGGGAGGTGTGGCACCCGCCCACACCTTTCTTGGTGCCCGCCAAGTGTTTTTAGAAAGTGGGTGTGGCTTTGAGTCAGCAATGTTTCTGATTGGCCACTGCAGATTTGATTGGCTGTGCAGATTTTTTAAAAAAACATTGCTTTGGCAGTCGCTGTCACCACTACGCAAGGATCTGCACTGTGTAATTGTTGGCAAGCTGTGGCAGCCGTTTTGTGGCTGTGCCCACCACACCGTGCCAGAATTCCACAGGTGCCCGCTGGCTCAAAAAAGGTCAGGGACCACTGATCCATAGTTCCTGGATGCACAATTTTAATTCCTTTTTAAATGCAAGCAGTCCTGAATGTCCTACGTGCCTGCATTCGTGTCTACTTTTTCATTCCTCTCTCAAAGGCAGAAAAGCGTGAGAAAAGCCACAAACCACCCTAAGATTGTTCTAATGATATACTGTAGGGCTTCGACAATGCCATGAACACGCTAGATGGATTTAAGCATTCTTTCCCCTAAAATACGAGGATAGCAGTAGCCTACCTTTAAAAGGCTATTACAGAGATTACTTGGATTACACACAAAGCACTTTTAAACGGCTATATACATGCTAAGTGACATTAATACGTAGGTGGGGCTCTCTTAACTTCTACTGTGGTACTTGGAACTCCATCCTTTCTCACTCTCAGTCTGGAGCTGGTGTAACATAGCAGCTAGGAAAATGAGCTTTATTCTGGAAGGTCCTTGGTCTGACTCTTACCTTTGGCATGAACTCACTAAGGCAGGGGTGTCAAACATAAGGCCCGGGGGCCGGAACTGGCCCATCCAGAGCTGTTATGCGGCCTGCGAGGAACTGGTACGAGGGAGGGAACTGGAGGCTGCTCGGGGGTGGGTAGGTAGGTGGAGCCACTCCAATTGTGGCTTCAGCACAGTGGGACAACCTTGTCTGCAGCACTCAAGCAGAACCTCTTTACTTCAGGGACTAGTAAGTTGGGAGTCACTGTAGCCACATTCATACCTCTTCACTCAGCCTGCAGCTCCGGGGATGCTATCCCAGGTAGCCTCAGGGATCAGTGTTTACACGTGGGTGGGTGTGCAGACAATCCTCTGTTGGGGCATGGGAGCGTCTGCCCAGCACTGCACTGCTGGGTCACCAGTCCGCCCTTATGGGTTTTCCTCTGCACCTCCCTCCCAGCCCATGGGGCCTTGCAGTGAAGACACACGTACTCGAAACGTACTCGTTGCTGTCCTTTATAAAGTTTATATCTCCAGTACCGGGCATTACGTTTTATGGCACACATGGCCCAGCCCAACAAAGTGACATTTATGTCAGATCTGGCCCTCGTAACAGATGAGTTAGACACCTTTGTACTAAGGGGACATAGGCAGGCTCCCATTTTCTGAAATCCATCAGCTGCATACAGAGAGTCCTAGCTAGACAGACATTTCTATATGAGGTTAGGAATGGCAGATCTGTTAGTTTCGAAAGAACAAACAGCAGGGTTAACTGACAAAGAAGATATTGACCCATTTTACAGGATTCTCGTTAAAGATGGCTATAACAATGTTTGTACACATAAATCCCTACGAAAATGCTGCCCCATGAAAAGCTCAATCTATGCTGAGTTCCATCTATTATCGTACTAATTATGTGTCAACTCGTATCTATGGATGTAAATTAGGGTATGCAAATTTTGTTTTCTTTCCTAGATGGCCACCCTAGTAATGCGTAGGGAGTCCCAGATTTTGTGAAGTCTGTCATAGTTAGTCAGGAAGAATTCTAAAATCAGCCCAGAGAGTGGGAGGAGGTAGAGTGACATGGTAGATATTGTTATTACGATATGCTGCGGTACTGAGGAAGTGAGCTTTCGGACTCAAAAATTACTGAAATTAATTGTATTAATCTTTGAGGTGGTCCTGGACTGCGTTTTATTTTCCGCTGATACTACAGCCCTAAGCAGAGTTACACCTGTCTTAAGTCCATTGTCTTCCATGGATTTTTCAATCGGCACAACTCTGTTTAGGATGGTTAGACTTTCAGCATCCATGTGTTGACTGGAGTTCTTCTAGAATTACAACTGGTCTCTAGACTGTAGAGATCAGTTCCCCTAGAGAAAATGGCTGCTCTGGAAGTTGCACTCTATGACATTATACCCTGTGGAGGTCCTGAGGCTTCACCCCCCAAATCTCCAGGAATTTCCCAATCTGGAGCTGGCAACCCTATATTAGGATCAGGAAGACCTAGGTTCAGATATTCACTCTGCTATGCAAGCTTGCTGGATGACTTTGAACTAGTCACACACAACCTCAGCCTGGCCTGCCTCACAGGGCTGTTGTGTGGACAAAGTGGACGAGAGGACACCAACCTAAGCTGATTTCAGGAGATAAGTAAAGGTTCCCTTGCTTGAAAGCCAGTCGAGTCCGACTCTAGGGTTGTGGTGCTCATCTCCGTTTCAAAACCGAAGACCCAGCGCTGTCCGAAGATGTTTCCGTGGTCATGTGGCCGGCATGACTAAACACCAAGGCGCACGGAACGCTGTTACCTTCCCACTGAAGTGGTACCTATTTAGCTACTTGCAATTTCTTGCTTTCGAACTGCTAGGTTGGCAGGAGCTGTAACTAGAGATGGGAGCTCACTCCATCACGCGGCACACTCGGGTCTTGAACTGCTGAACTACTGACCTTCCACAGCCTGCAGTTCAGCGTCTTAACCACTTGAACCACCGCAGCAGGGTATAAATGAAGTAAAATAAACATAGCGCAATTACCTCTCTGGAACTTTTTGAGGGGACTTAATAATGCAAACTTCCTCCTACGGAGGAGAGGGGGTGGACCGAAAGAGAGTTCAGTCCAATCACGCCCATTCTAAATTTCCTCAAATGGGAGCCTTTGTGTCAGGTTGGGGGTGTGCACTTGGAACAGGGTTACCATATTTTTGGAAAGCAAAAATGAGGACGTATTTCCTGACTACTTCAAACAAGTGATTACTATGACAAATCTCATTTTAAGCACCTCTCCTATTTAACCTGTGTTCAGGTGGGTAGTCCTGTTGGTCTGAAGCAACAGAACGACGTTTGAGTCCAGTGACATCTTTAGGTCTGAAGAAGTGTGTGTGCACAAGAAAGCATTATCTCCAGAATTAAACTTTGTTGGTCTTAAACGTGCCACTGGACTCAAACTTTGTTCAGAATGTAAGAACACAAGAGAAGCCATCTTGGATCAGGCCAATGGGCCATACGGTCCAATGCTCTATCTCACACAGGAGCCAAAACCCAGGTGCCATCAGGAGGTCCACCAGTGCGGCCATAATTCCAGAAGCCCTCCAATTGTGCCCCCCAAGCACCAAGAATACAGAGCATCACTGCCCCAGACAGAGTGTTCCATCTATACCCCGTGGCTAATAGACACCGATGGACCTCTGCTCCATATTTATCCAATCCCCTCTTGAAGCCATCTATGATTGATGCTCATAGCCACTACCACTTCTTGCGGCATTGAATTGCATATGTTAATTCCTCTTTGGGTGAAGAAATACTTCCTTTAATCTGCTCTAAGCCTACTGTTCATCAATTTCATTGAGTGCCCAACAGTTCTTGTATTTCGAGAAAGGGAGAACAGTACTTCTTCTCTACCTTCTCTATCCCATACATAATTTTGTAAACCTCGATCATGTCGCCCCTCAGTTATCGTTTCTCCAAGCCAAAGAGCCCCAAGCAGTTTAACCTTTCTTCATAGGGAAAGTGTTCCAACCCTTTGATCATCCTAGTTGCCCTTTTCTGCACTTTTTCCAATGCCATAATATCCTTCTTGAGGAGTGGTGACCAGAATTGCACACAGTACTCCAAATGAGGTCGCACCATCGGTTTATACAAGGGCATTATGATACTGGCTGATTTGTTTTCAGTTCCCTTCCTAATAATTGCGACTAACTGGGAATATTCCTAACCTTCCTAATAATTTTTGACTTTTCAAAAAAATAGTTCTATGTAAGATGTGATGATTGCGACTAACTGGGAATATTCCTAACTTTCCTGATAATTTTTGACTTTATTTTTTAATAGTTCTATGTAAGATGTGATGATTGCGACTCACTGGGAATATTCCTAACCTTCCTAATAATTTTTGACTTTTTATTTAAATAGTTCTATGTAAGATGTGATGATTGCGACTAACTGGGAATATTCCTAACTTTCCTGATAATTTTTGACTTTATTTTTTAATAGTTCTATGTAAGATGTGATGATTGCGACTCACTGGGAATATTCCTAACCTTCCTAATAATTTTTGACTTTTTAAAAAAATAGTTCTATGTAAGATGTGATGATTGCGACTCACTGGGAATATTCCTAACCTTCCTAATAATTTTTGACTTTTCAAAAAAATAGTTCTATGTAAGATGTGATGATTGCGACTCACTGGGAATATTCCTAACCTTCCTAATAATTTTTGACTTTTCAAAAAAATAGTTCTATGTAAGATGTGATGATTGCGACTCACTGGGAATATTCCTAACCTTCCTAATAATTTTTGACTTTTCAAAAAAATAGTTCTATGTAAGATGTGATGATTGCGACTCACTGGGAATATTCCTAACCTTCCTAATAATTTTTGACTTTTCAAAAAAATAGTTCTATGTAAGATGTGATGATTGCGACTCACTGGGAATATTCCTAACCTTCCTAATAATTTTTGACTTTTCAAAAAAATAGTTCTATGTAAGATGTGATGATTGCGACTCACTGGGAATATTCCTAACCTTCCTAATAATTTTTGACTTTTCAAAAAAATAGTTCTATGTAAGATGTGATGATTGCGACTCACTGGGAATATTCCTAACCTTCCTAATAATTTTTGACTTTTCAAAAAAATAGTTCTATGTAAGATGTGATGATTGCGACTCACTGGGAATATTCCTAACCTTCCTAATAATTTGAGGAGGCGGGAGCCACGGAGGCGTCCGAGTCAGTCCCGGCGGCGGCGATGGAATCCCTGGAGGACCTGGCGCTGGGGCCCTGCACGGCCTCGCCCTACTTGCGGCCTCTGCGGCTCCGCTACCGCCAGGTAAGCCGGCGGGCGGCCTCTCGCGTCGGAGCCTAGGCCTCGCCTGTGTGTGTGTGTGTGCGTGTGGGCCTCCGCGCTCTTCCTGCCGCCCGAGGGGGAGGGGGGCCATGAGGAGGAGCCGGGAAGTCCCGCCCGCGCGGGGCGAGGAGGGGACGGGGGGCTGAGGTAGTGGCTGAGGGCGGGGGCCGCTTTGGGAAGGCGGCCGGCCTCGGGGCCTTTTCCGAGCGGAGGAGGGCTCCGTGGCTCGTGCTCCGTTTCTTCGCTTCATTGATTATTATGCCCCTGCCGTTGCCCCCTGCCAGGACCCGAAAGGGCTCACGGGATTCATCCGCCCCTAGGTTTGATTGTCACTGTCACAACAACCCGGTGGGGTAGATTGGAGACAAGTGATGGGCTCAAGGTTACACCCAGATCGCTTCTGTGGCAGAAGGGGGGAGGGGATTAGGGATGCCAGCCTCCCGGTGGTTACAGCTCATCTGCAGACTACAGAGGTCAGTTCCCCCTGGAGGAAAGGGATGCTTTGGAGGGTGGACTCTGTGGCATCGCACACCACTGAGGTCCCCTGTCCTCCACAGACTCCGTCCCCAAATCTCCAGGAGTCTCCCAACCTGGATCTGGCAACCCTAGATTCGAACCTGAGCTAGGGATGCCAGCCTCCAGGTGGGACCTGGGGATCCCCCGGAATGACAGCTCATTGCCAGACTACAGAGATCAGTTCCCTTGGAGAAAATGGCTGCTTTGGAGGGTGGACTCTAAGGCGCCATCCCCAAATCTCCCAGGCTCCATCCCCAAATCTCCCAAGAGTTTCTCAGCCTGGATCTGGAACCCACCCCCCACCCCCATCCCCCGTCAATGGCCGGGGGAGACCTGGCAACCCTATCTCAGATCCTAGCCCGGCGCTCTGACCATTACACTGTAGAGATCTCAAGGATATACTGGCTTCTTTAAGATAGATTCAGGTGGGGTAGCCGTGTTGGCCTGAAGCAATAGAGCCAGGTTTGAGTCCAGTGGCACCTTTCAGACCAACAAAGTTTAATCGTGGGGATAAGCTTTCATGTGCATGCACACTTACAGAATCATAGACTTGGAATCATTCTCCGCGTGTCCATTTTATCCTCCCAACAGCCCTGACAGGTACACTAGGCTGAGAGAGAGGAAGCTGCTCAGAGTCCCACAATGCGTTCATGGCAGGATTTGAACTTGGGTCTTTTGGTTTCTGACCTCTATACTACACTGGATATGTTATTTCCAGGGAAGCTCAACACTACCAAGAGCTTGGGCTGATGGCTGAGTGGTACAACATCTGCTTAACGTGCGGAAGGTCCCAGGTTTGGTCCCGGGTCCTTAAAGGCTCTCAGGCAGTTGTTGGGTAAGATCTTTACCTGCCTGAGACCTTGGAGAGCTGCTGCCGGTCAGAGTAGACAATGCAGACCTTGACAGACTGATTCTCTGCCCCATGATATTCACAAAGCACCCCCTCACCCCCACACAAATCTGCAATTAGTGGCAGTGTGAAATTGAAATTCTCTTCAGTTATTTTGTTTTTTTACCGTGCCTTTGCTCCAAGAAACTCAGAGAGGTGTTTATAGTTCTCCTCTCCTCCGTGTTACCCTCACAACAATCCTGTGAGGCAGACCGGGTTGGGAGCAAACAGCCCAAGGTCAGCCAGAGAACTTCATGCCGTGTGGAGACTCGAACCTGGGTTCGCCCAGCTCCTCTCTGGTATCCTAACACCACACTGCCTCTCAACTATCCCAAAGCACAATTTTTAAAAGGGACATATAAACAGCACTCCAGACATAGCATTTTATTTATATAAGTGTTTTTATGATAGGTGCACATAGTACCAAGATCTCAGGCATATATTTAATAAGACCCTTCTGTCTGATGGCCATCAGCCAACTCCTTAATGTTAGGTTTGATTCCTATTTGCAGTTAGTGGGGTTGTGTTGTTGTTTTTTTAAAGAGCCTGGGAAGAAAACTGGGATTTTATTATCAAGGTGGAATCTATCAGCAGTATAAAACAAGGCCCCTCTGCTGATTGTTAGAAGCTGTCGCAGGTGGGAAGAAGGGGGAATGCATAAAATACCAAATGCTTCCTCCCCCCACCCAATTCTTATAATCTTTATATTTATGATAGGTGCGTCTGATATATATGTCTCAGGCAATCACTGAGACCCCTTGTGTTTGATGGCCATCAGCCAGTTTCTTGAAGTTACATTTGATTCCTATTTGCTGTGTGTTAAGGGTCTGAAAGAAAAAATATGAAGTTTTATCCTCCAGGCAGATCTGAGCCTTATAAAATTATTTTGCTGGTGGCCAGAGGCTATTGCAAGTGGGGAGAAGGGGATGCTTAAAACCCCAAATGCCTTTCCCTGATAAATTCTGAATTCCTACCAAGATTTTATATTGCCCCCTGGGGTGTTATATGGCTCCCATTAGAATCTCTTTATCTAATTTTTATCTAGGGTTGCCACACCTGCTAAGGGCAGGAAATTGCCACCTCCAGCTTCCACTGCCAGTTACTGCTTCAGCTGCTGGCAAGAGGGAAGTGACATCACACCACTCTAGGAATAGCTGTTAACTCTGTGGCAGGAGGAAAAAAACTAAAAATAGGTGCTCTTACATCACTTCCAGGGAAACCTGGAAGTGACATCATGCCACTCTAGGAATAACTTAACTCTGTAGTGGATGATGGTATCCCCCCGATATTCTTGCTCCCCCAGATTCCTGCCAGTTGTCAGCTGCTGCCAACGTTGTTTTTATCCCATCCTTCCTCCAGGGAGCTTGGGAGTGTCCACAGTTCTCCCTTTCCCTGTTTTATCCCCCATTTTATGTTGTGAGATGGGTTGGGCTAGAGGAAGGTGGCTGGCTGGTTTGACCCTTGGCCTCGAAAATCCTAAACTGATACCGTAACTGATACACCACATTGGCTTTTGTCATGAACATGACTAGAGAGCATTTACCTTTGTAACAGCAATGCTTCCTTGCCCATCTTAAGGGCTGCCTCCCAATGCCCCCCCCTAAGCTGTGAAGTCTTGTGAGCAGAAATCCTACTTTGTGAGCTACTGGGCATTAAAGTTGTGAGCGAGCGATTTGGATACTGCATAAATCAGTTTGCTCTGGAGCCCTCCTTCCTGAGCGAAGGCAAAAAAAAAAAAAGGTGTGAGCCGGAGGCTAAAAAACTGTGAGCTAGCTCACACTAACTCAGCTTAGAGGGAACACTGCTGCCCACGTGTGTGATGGAATGGCTGTGCTCCAAGCTTGCTCTGCCCCCAACTTATCTCTTTATGATGGGTGTGGCCAGAGGTCATTTCGGGGGAGATCGCAGTTCCCCCGGGTGAGGTACGGGGCGGGGCACATGACGAAGCCCCGCCCCCTGCTTCCGGCCGCCCGCTTCCAGCCCTCATTCAGCCAGGAGGAGGCAGGAGAAGAGGGAGGGTAAGATGCTTCCTCCCCGCCTCTCTCCACCCCTGCCTGCCTGGGGCCAGGGAGGGCCTTTGCGGGGCTTCCTTGCACTCCCGCCAGCCTTGCAGGTGCACCGCCGGGCCCCTCACGGGGCTCGGCAGTGGAGCTGCAAGGCCGGCGGCAGCCGGGACTGTTGAGGGCGGGGTGTGTGGCTTTATGACACACTTCCGGTGATGTCAGGGGGTGTGGCATATGCTAATGAGTTATGCTAATGAGTTCCCCTAGCTCTTTTTCTACGAAACGACCCCTGGGTGTGGCCCCACAGATGATGTGCTATATGAGAGGTCACTTGAAGTAGATGGCAGTGACCATTTTACACCTATTGCACAGCTTTGGAAATCCATCTCGTCGTGCATCGGTTGTGCGACGTCGCGTGTGTCTGTAAGCGCCATCAGGTTGCCGCCAACAACCCTGTAGGGTTTTCAGGGTAAGAGACTAACAGAAGTGCTTTGCTATTGCCTTCCTCTGCATAGCGACCCTGGAATTCCTTGGTGGTCTCCCATCCAAGTACTAACCACGGCCGACCCTGCCGAGCTTCCAAGCAATGCTCCCTCTAAGCTGTGGAGTCCTGGGAGCAAAAACTCTACTTTGTGAGCTACTGGGCATTAAAAGTTGTGAGGGAGCGATTTGGCTACGGCATCAATTAGTTTGCTCTGGAGCCCATCCTTCCCGAGCTGAGACAAAACTGTGTGAGCCGGAGGCTAAAAAACTGTGAGCTGGCTCACAGTAACTCAGCTTAGAGGGAACACTGCTCTTCCAAGACCTGATGAGCTCATGTCATGCCTGTACATTAATAACAAGAGTGGCTTCCCTCTGCATCAACCACTTCTGGCAAGTAGACAAGAGATTGGGTCAGTACAATTCTGGCTGGGAAGGAGACCTGTTTATTAGTGTTTTGGTGTGTTCTTGGTGGGACCAAACCCTCCCCCTCTTCACAGTTGCTCACTGATGCACCGTTTTGCTTCCCAAAGGAGAGGCTTCCGGTTGAATCCGCTCGACATTCCCTCTGTGCCTGTTTTGAACCCCCGGTATTTTCCTCCTGATGAAGTCTCTTCCTGCCCATCCTTGGTTTACTGTTGTGACTTAATCACATCGCCTGGGGCCCATTCCTGTTACAAAGTCCTGATGTCTGCACCAGGTCCTGTTAGTCAGACATTCCTCGGTGGCTACACATGCGCTTTCCCAACGGGGCAAATGGCAGCTCCCCAGAGGACATTTCAAGTTGTCAAAAAAGCACGAGGGAAAATATCCTGGCTCCAATACAAACAGGGTACTGAGTACGAGAGGCCACGCGAAAGAAAAGGCTGATATCCTTATTTGCGTACAAACCAAATATTAATATATCTAGTGCAAAAAGTACAGTATGTTTAGTGGAAACAGGCCCTGTATACAGTGGTGATGCAGTGTAGTATGACCATTAGAATATAAAAAATTCAATACATAATACGACGGTTAGCAAGGTATAGCAATCGACGGTCTGCCGGCTACTTAAGACACCGTTTCGATATCTTCTTCAGGATTGTTTCTGTTAC